CCCCAGTGAAATGGGAATTTGAGGCATCGACTTACAGTGGGTCCATTCCTACCTGGAGAGTTGAGCCCAGAAAGTGGTGCTGGGGGCCTCCACTTTGAGCCCTTGGCCATTGACCTGTGGGGTCTCACTGGCCTCTATTTTGTCCTCATGCTATTCAGCATTAACATGAAACCTCTGGGGGAGGTCATTCAGAGTTTTGGAGTGCAGTGCCAGATAATCATAACACAGAAATGCTGGACCACTCCAACAACCACCATGTCAGACTACACAGAGAAGCCACTGAAATCCACAAGCATGTGGACAATTTCAACAGAAAGGAGGAAACCATGAAAATGAACAAAATCTGGCTACCAGTATTAAAAAAACTCTGAAATTACAACAGCAAAACAGCAGAGAGGAAACAACCGAGCACAGCTTAACACCTCTCAGCAAGAGATTTTCCCAGGCTCAGGCAGGCCTTCAAATGCTAATGAAAGTGGTCAGTTGAAACATTCACACCTAGCTCCAGCAGAGAAGAGCTCTGGGCCCCACCCCAGTCATTCCACAGATATATAAACCCACTTTCCTATTTCCAACAGACCTCACTACCTCTGGGGATGCTTGCCATAGATGCAGGTGAAACGTCAGGAGAAAATGCCTCTAGAACATGGCCATATAGCCCGAAGAAACCCACAAGAACCAATAGCAAGACTGCTTATAGCAAGGAACTGGAAAAAAATAAATAAATATACAAATAGAGGAGTGGTATAAGGAAGTATGGAAACTGGCAATAAATGATAAGCTGACATGTATATTAAAAGTTAAAAGAGGTATATGGAAACAAAGTGATTTTGATGATGTATGGAGAACATTTATTGAAAAAGGATTAAAAAACAAAGAAAGGAAGTTACCTCCACAAGAAGAATTGAAATTTTGGACGGACGACATGTAAAAGCTGTGGCTTGAGGGGGGAGGGGAGCACAGCAGTGAGGAATAGAAAATATGTTTAAGCAGAATAATAACCCTAGATGCCAAAGTATGTTAGGTTGTATTGAATAATATGTATCATCTGCTGTAAAACAAATGTATAACAAATGTGTTAACTATGATAAAATAATAAAAAAATATTTTTTAAAAAGTAAACCAAAATTAATAATCTAGCCACTTCCAGAACTTATTTTCAACCCAAACATATTTCCAGGATCTGCCCTGAGGCAGGCCG